ATGATACACTGAAGATGCATATTCACTTGAATTAAAATTCTTTTTTAAATACGCTGTATTAAATTTGTCACTTACTTTTTTCGGGACAGAAATCTATAATTAAAAAATATTATTCATACGTGAGAAAAGTACTCTGTAAGTAATAATTTGTAGAAATTTGTACAAGAGCTAATTTTTAAATTCGTTTGACACGATGATCATGACAAGTATTAGGCACAATGCGATATTTTGCTGTTCGTCCAAAAATCTAATCCCTCTTTTATATTGAAAATACGTACAGCCGATTTCAGCTCTTGAACGGTCAATGATTATACGCCGGCAACTTCAACTGATAGAAAGCTGACGGCAAACACTCTCCGTGTGTTTAAAAGACATCCGCGAACTCTTACCTAGCTGCAGTGCCGCACTTCTCGCGGTCCTCGAGAAAATCAAATCAGGGCTGAAGGATCCTCGATTCATATCCATTCCAAGTTTACAAATAAAAGTTTGATTGTAACTTTGCCGAAACATTATCGTTAGCCTAAATTATGCGCTTGAAAAAATTTTCGATTTTTAGATTTCCTGATCATATAACGAGTCTCATGTATCGTATTTTCGTGTTTAAAGCGCTCAGAATCAAATTGATGTCGCTTCCTTCCAGAACGTCGCTTTTTAGGGAATTTTTATAAATGTTCAAAATATGTATTGGTTTTTTATTACAAATATTCAAATTCGATAAATGTTTTTGGGCGAAATCTGTTCACTCGACACGCTAAAATTGATTCATTTTCCCTCGTGGGAGAAGAATGTGATTCGAAGACCCATGGAATCTCATATGGTTCTGATGACTATTTGATCTGTTATAACCCTTCTAATGTCCGACAAACACCATATCCTACAATAGCTCACAAGAGGGCTCCAAATTGCGTTTGGAAGTACAGGGTGCGGCGTGGGAACTTACTCTTTTAAAAAAAATCACAAAGTAAAAAGTATTAAAGATAGCGTTTTAATTCTTTCTTTTTTACAAAGAGCTACATTTAAAGTTTCGTTGGGTTTACTTACAAGTTTAATTCTTGAATATTACATCTTGTAGGTGACCTCCATGCTGTTCAATACATTTTGTCAGACGAGATCGGAAGTTTCGCTCCACCTTCTCAAGCATGTACAGAGACTGCGAACGCGCGCTCCTCTCTCGACCACTGCATGGTCGCAACTGAACTGAGTGGACGAAAAACTTCATAGCCCGCGCACCATATTGCGCATGGCGCCACCTTCCTAGGACTAATGGCCGCCACGTGGTGCGCAATTCAAATAAGTAAGTTCCCGCGCCGCACCCTGTATTTGAATCTCTCGATTTTCTTTATAAGAGACTGCTAAGTATTAGATCGATTCCAGTTTCATTTATTTGGAGAGATAGTAAAAAATACTTTACCAGGAGGTATCCGAGTTTCTCGGAGGATATTGATGTAAGGTAGAATTTAATGCATTTTAATATTGTATCGCTTGTGAATCAATGCATTTTGTCAGATTCCCTCTGTAAAGTTAGATTAACCACTTTATTAACATTAGCAAATTTCTCGCTGGCTGACAAAGTATCCTCGACCAACGGTGGGATGAGCGGGGAGTTAGTTAGAGCTGCACGTGTGCGGAGCTGAGAGGCACGAGGTGCTCTTGCCACTATATATGATTAGTTTGCCACTATGGATGATTAGTTGAAAGTTTAGCTCTATCAGTCTATCTGAACTTTGAAGAAAAACAGAATTATACGATAGCGTTACCCTGTGCTACGTTTACTGAACCACCAGAAAGTACAACACGACTTCAATATATTTTTGTAAACCACCTATGTGAGCATGGATATAAATATCGTCGAAATTGTTCTTTTACTCTTGCCACACCATGGGAGGCCGACTGCGGAACACGTTTTGCAGTATATACCGTTTCTATGCTTATTGTGTCATCAGAAAATATCTCCAATCTTTATATAGGTCAAAATATGCAGAACATGGTTTTTCTCTGAAATTTTATGACTGTTCAATGCATCTACCTCAAATGTAACAGACACCATGAGGCAATTATTAAAGCAATGCTACTGAGCCATGTTAATGTATCAATAAACTTTGAAGATGTACATGTGGTGACAGAAGTTTGAGAAGTGTCAGCGCCACCAGCTTGCTGCTCAGATCTTCAACCATGAACAAGCGAAAACTCCAACGACGTGTTGGTGGTTCGCTGAGCTTAATATTAAAATTATTTTCAACGAAGGGTATGCATTACTATCGTTGAATTTACTGGCGTGTATTATTTCAAAGTTATTGTGACATTTATTTAGTTAATTGTCTTTAGGAAATAATTTGAAACTAAAAAATTACAAATTTGAGATGAGTCACTTTATTAATCCTGTCATCCATAATTACTTTCACATTTTTCAGTTGTCAGCGAACTGAATTGCTTAGAAATTTGATGGAAACAACTCCACATCAACAACTTTTTCGGTGCAGTCTCGTGTAATAATTGAAACGCACCGCAATGCATTTATCTCTCGTCTAAAATTTTTATCCAACCTACCCTGAAAGAGATAGTTATTAACGCGAGTGTTCAATCTCACTTGTATGTGCATTGCTAGTAATAAATTCACCGCTTATAAAGTAATGTCATTCATGCTTCTCTTCTCTTCACATAACAAGCGCAGAATATATCGAGAATATAATCTATGCTTTTCCCATCAGCAAGAAAATATTCCTAGAATTGAACGCAGAATATTCAAAATGATGACCAAGAGGAAATGATGTGTCGGCATTATTCAGGAGATCGGAACGAATTCTGAGTTTGGCGTTTTGTGATGTAAGAAATACTCTCCGAGAAAATCCAGCAAGAAACCCACTGCCATTGCGGTCTGTATGAGAACAGTTGTACAAATGAACTGCAGATTTATCCGTCGTTGAATGCATTGTGATGAGTAATATTTCAGGAGAGGGATATTTTGCGTGCGTCTTTTTAACCCGAGTTATTCAAACTGAATAGTTTTTTGTCATTGAGTTCTGTACGTATTCGAAATAGAAATCTCTAGTTTATTACCTTAGTTTTTCGGCTACTGGATCATTGTGTATGATGAAATAGCGTCACGAAATTCAGGATATCGGTCACTTCGTTCTTAGTATCATAATCTTCGGCATGCATAAAAAAGTCACTTGAAATTGTTGAGTGGAATTGCAAATCATTGAAACTTTTGCGTAAAAAGGCATTATAAAGTGTTAGTTCTGCGGATAGTATTAGATCTAATATTGGGAATAAACATTAAATGTAGACTAATGGCAAGGTACAGAAAAATAAAATTACTAATATCAAGACAATTATATATAAGAATTTATAAATATTCTTAGATCAATAAGCAAGAGCGTGAAGCCGTTTTTTGCATATCTGGTAAGGTGAAATCGAGAATTTCCCGAGGATTAATCATGTTGCGTTATTCAATGATTATGCGTCGAGGTGGAATTTATCGATTTCATTGTTCCCGTCTCCGGCAGTCTCCGGCAGTGCAATGAACATCAGAATAAATAACAATGCTTTAAACGCAATGTAATGATAGCCAGAGTTCAATTAATGTGTTATTTCATAAGGCACCGCGTCATCGATGTAGTTGTTCTGTGCTTCATCCTCCACAAGCTCGAGCTGTGATAAATAAAGTACATGGCAAATAAGGATGAATTTTAGCCCAATTATGATTTCAAAAAGCAAAAAGTTATTACAATTGCTGTCTTCGTCTATGCTTTGTGTCCTTCAAAATCCTATTTAGATTATTCTATGTCCAGTAATCGTTTTCTAATCAATTACTAGTTCTTTCATGATAATTTCGTGAGCTCAGTCCAATTTCAACCCTTTTTCTGGTAAGTAGCCTAATCTTCTGGTAAGTAATATGGTCACTCCTAATCTCCTCCGAAAAAAACCCACTGGTTTGTGATCGAGGCTACGTTATCATGTTTTTGATAATCAATAATCATCTGACCATCGTTCCCTTTATAGCATCAGCGCCTGTCTAGCCGAAAAAATTGAAATATGAAGATTCAATCAACTAAAAGTTTTGACTCGGACAATTAAATTGATGCTCCTTACGCATTTTTTAAGACGGAAATAGCAATATCTCTTCAATTAATTCATGTAACTTGATAAAATTGAATTGAACTTAGATGGTTACTTCCATCATACCCAAGTTTATATATGAATTATACTAATTTTTAAAAGTAATGACCGTATTTAATAGTTTAAACAGCTGCTAATTTCTCATTCAATATGCAAAATACATAAAATACGTACGAGTGAATCCATATCATATTTGTTCATACTTTTTCTACTGGCTTCAGATACATGAATTTCTGCAAATTTTCATGCTTGCCGTGAGAGGGTTAGAAAATTTTAGCGATCTTTTTAATACAATAATTTTGTTATGTCCAATATTTGAGCTAAATGCGCAGTCGTTTGAATCTGTTAAAAAATTCCAAGGACTTTTTATCATATCTCAGAAATTCTTAAAGAATTTTCTGATCCGTGCAGGAAATAAACCCCTTCTTTAATTGCATTTGTCAGTTTTAATTGCATTGGAAATATTTCTTAATCGTACATCCTCGATGAGCATTGTGTAATCAATGAGGTCACCATTGAAGTCATTGCATTGTTATCTCGTTGTGAGTGTTGACAACGAAGGTAGAACATAAGTCCAATTAACTGTTATATAAAGACTATACGCATTTCAATTTAATCTCAACTAATTTCACCGCCATTTCAACTCATTGTTTGCAAGAATTTCTCGACCTGCATTACGGAAGCAAGGAAACTTATAACAAGTTGTGCACTTATGAGTCTTTCTAGTGAAGAAAATATTTAATTTTATCTATTTTCACCGCCATTTCCGCTCATTGTTTACATTAATTTTTGACCTACATTACGGAATCAAGGACACTTCTAACAAGTTTTGTCACTTATGAATCTTAGAAAATATTTAACGTTTCTCTCATGGTCGGCAGTGACGCCGCTGGTGACGGTGTACGCCATCAAGGACGAGAAGGCGAGGCTTCCGTGCAACATTTCGCAGCCAGAAGACGATGAGGTCATACTCGTACTGTGGTACAGGAACCTTACCAAGGCGCCATTCTACAGGTAATGTTCTGATGCTTGTCTGCTCTGATAATAAATGAAGTTGAAGTCTCTATGTTCATAAAAACCACTTTCTTGTCTGCCACGGTTTAATCATTTCCAAACAGTAATAATTTTTCTAACAATAAATGCTACATGAAATGACTTGAATAGAATATTATTTTACATGTTTTAGGGATGTACTCACATGTTTTGCAGTTTCATTTGAATGGGTAAATAAATGATAAGCTATTATTCAAATTGAACTTGAAGCAATTGAATTTCACGTTATTGTATCCTACTTCGAACCTAAGAGAGAATTATAGTTAGATTCTGTGATGGTCGTGTTGGAGTTGTGTCCGAAGTTCATTAGAAGCGCAATCTGTGCAATGGCCTCAAACATAACTTCCGAGTTTATTGGACTCTAATTACTCAATGCTAATAACTTTGAAAGAAAGAATTGCAATTAGGCTCAATAAATTTACTTTAGTTTTCAGTTTTCTAAACTTTTCTTTCTCTATAGTTTTCTCTTAGTTTTTCTCTAGTTTTAATGTGATCGCAATGAATTGACATTCTCAGTTGTTTGTCATCAAAGTAAATTATTTAAGCAAAATTATTAGTCCGACAGTATATAGTTTAATTTTTTTCTTACAAATTGTTCAACACATATTCTATAAAGAAATTTGGAGTATGTACGATGAATATCGCCTTGGAAAATTGGTGCATGCGAATTGTTATTAAAGCGAGTATCCACAATAACAGACACATCTTGATTCCGAAAATTTAATTTTTATTAGTGACATCATTGCTGGGTTAGATTAGAAAATTTTCGTATAATTATATATTCGATCAATTGAATTGTAGTTGCGACATAATACACAGTATTAAAACTTTTCTATACATTTCATAATGGGAGGATATAGGTGATTCAACGTCAAATTCATCTTCTTAATAATAGTTTGCGAGCGTGTGCCTCTTTGCTCTCAAGAGTTTTTGAGTTCTGTAATTACTTTAATAACAGGAAATATCATGCTTTGTTCTCATGATTGTATATACCGAGCAATAACGCAGTTTATCAGCGAAAATAATATACTCAAACAAAAAACAAATTTCAACAGAACAACTTATAAATAATCTCGAGCATCTTACAATAAATCGATAGATTTTCTGCCCGAACCTAACATTACGGTGTCTTAGGATTTAATAAATAATCTCTTGTCTGAACAACTAAAAGATTCCGTTGACTTGAGTATGAAGTACACAGAAGAATTTCCACTCAATTTTTTAAAATCACGCAACACATAATTCAAATAAATATAATTGGCATATAAATAAGAAACAAAAATTTATGGCAGCCTTGAAAGTTTGTCTCGCAAAAATAAACAAATTTTTCTTTATTTTTTCCAGAAGCAGTGCAGTCGTTAGACAGTTTACAATGTAAAACTTTTATTCCATTGTTGGAACTCGTGTCACAAAAAGTGCGCTTCCAAGGCTCAGACTAAGAAGAAGCTTTCTTCTGCCGCATAATTTCCCGATCAGTTAAGACTGGGATGCCTTGGCCAGATTTTGCGATGCCATTACCTCCATTGTTTAACTTAGCAACGCCGTGGCCGAGACAGAGAAGTGATTGCACCAAACCTGAACAGAGCTCGTCTACTGCCTAACATTATTAAGTGTCAGGGCGGCAACTCAGTTCATCATTGCAACCTGAGATTGAATCTGTGATCCTTCACGCTACTATTGCGGAAATTCAGCGCACAAACAGGGACACGATGTGTGTGGAACATTGCAAGTGCCTTGAGAAGTATCCACCGCGTCAAATTCGTAATACAATCATGATGTCTTGTAATCTATCAAAGTATATTACATATTATGAAACTCTTAAGTGATTTCTGTTCCATTCAGATGACATAATTCTTTCACGTATTAAACTATGGGGTTTATTATGAATGCAATTCTTAAACGAATGCCTAATAATTTAATTCATTTCATTTTGTTAGATAAATACTTGTACGTCGTGAAAATATCAAGACTGGCCATAAGTTTCAAAGCAATTATCAATCAGACGTTAATCTCCTGAAGACATTATTTTAGAATATATATATCAACAAATGAAGTACAATGTACGATTATTGATTCACTACAAATAAAATCTAGCAGCACCAAAGAGAGCAGAGGATTAGGAAACCAACCCCTTGTAAAGCAGAAAAGAAACTCGATCGCAAAACCGCAATTCTTCTTTCGCCTCGCTTGAATTCTAACGATTCATTGACTTCATCATTCACCAATACGCTTCGAAACGTCATATCTTCCATAAACTCAGAAAATATTTTATTTTCAGCTTCAAGCCGTATTCTTTCTAGATGGAAGTAGAGTGAGAATTACAGAGCTTTAGTAAATTAAAGATAAAATTTAGAAAATAAACGACATTGATCGATCATAGCTTTGGTAGTGTGTCCGTCAAAGCTGGTTTCTGACGTCAACCTCAAGCAAACAAGCACCAACACCAACCATCTAATTATTGATCCTGCCAATCAAGTAGGTTTCTTAGCAAGACCGACAACAAACGCTGCGCTTCTGAGATTGCTCGCCATATCTGCCCCTGCTGATTTTAAAATTCATTCTCATGGGATGCGGTGTAAAAAAAATATGACTGATGGTCCTTTAATGAAAGATTATTTCAATTATGCTTCGGATATTTATTATGGCACTCAACACAGAAACTTCTAAACGCTTGCCATTGTTTCCGCATCTGTGATCACGACAATCTGAATCTCAAAAAAGCTTGCAAATTTCGGTGTTTGAGGCACCGGTTCGAGTATGTGCTATAAGTGACGTTATTTTGCTAGTGCAGGAAGACCTAAGAGATTTGTATTAATAAATATGTTCATTATTTTAAGAAATATAGCTCATTTTATTGTAAGACGTTTGTGTGTGCAATCAAAGAAGACGAAAATTTGCTCCCAGAGAAATTGAATGAGAAGACAGAACCTGTGTTCCTTCCACAGCGTGGACATGCGGGGTCGTGGCAGTGGCCGGTCATGGGCGGCTTCAGATGTCGGCGACAGAATCAGGTTCAGGATAGGGACCGATGCAAGCGGTGTGGCAGACGATACCTCGGAAGAGATCAGAAGAAGAGCTGACTCTGCCAATCATACCTACAAAGATCACTACAGGAATGAGGTCTGGTCACCGACACACAATGCTCATTATGCCATCTGTTGCAGTTTTGTTTATTGTGAGAGGCTTTCGAAAATTGTTTCGACTTTCTTCACATACAAAATAAACAAATGATAATTTGTCCTTTGAAATAAACTGTAGAGAACTTTGCTTTTAAAAAACCAATTAACTATCAGTGTTAAATAATTCTTCATTTCATGCAAATAAATGATTTTATTTGCAACCCAACATAAATGATTTTATCCCTTTATTAATTTACGCTCGCATTCTCATGTAAATAAGCTGCAAGGTTGACTTATTCTTAGGGTTCTCAGCATCAAGAGTCGGCGAGCTCTGGGACGCTGGAGATCGTCGGTGCGCGCGAGTCTGACGAGGGAGAGTACCGCTGCCGAGTCGACCTCCAGGCGTCGCCCACACGCAACACGCGCTACCGTCTGCACGTCGTCGGTCAGGATACGATGCTTTCATTGAGTTCATATGATTCCTTCTCGTTCAATAATATACTATTTATACACGGAAGCATATTAAAGAATGTTCTAAACTATATTATGATAAATGGTATTTTTACAATTTTATTTCTTTTGCAAGCATTTCCTATTCCTATAGGAAGAAATATCAGTCTGGAGGCCGTGTTTGATTATAGTTTTTTTCATTTCATTTTTAATGTGTTAGATTGATTGAATTCAATATCAAAGTCAAATTCAATTTATTTTTAAATGTGTAGGTCGACGATTGTCGAAGGTAACTGTCGGTTCGTTACTTAATAGCTTAAATGTATTAATATTCATGATGAAATATGATCCAATTACGAAAATAAGAAAACAAGAGCCTCTTTACTCACCTTGAAATTAAGAGAATTCCATTTTATTATCTTCTCGATAAGACTTTCTTTAGAAAATAAAAAAAATATGTAATTAAATGTATTATTGAGAAGGAGTTTAAGCCGTCCAACTTATCGATTAAAATTAAGACGCATGAGATGCAGTTATTCTGTTGTACGGCTCTATACTCCGGAAGCCTTTAATACATTGAGTCCACGTGCCTGAACTCACTTGCTTCTGGCCTACTCGTGACCTTCTCTAAGACTGGCGCGGCCTTTATAAATCTTTAATATGGAAACTACTCGAGCGCCGACCAGCCTATAGGTGGTGTGCTCAAGCAATCAGGAGCAATGTGAGTTATAGATGCATTAACAGGAGAATAAGCAACGGCTATAAACAATTGGGAGAGTAAAATAAGGTACAATTTAACAAGTGAACAACTTATGGTAAATAAACACTTATAAAGGTAAATATTTTGATTGTACTAGAAACGAGAAAAGAATAATCAACGGTCGATAAAGAAAATTAATTTATTCCTTGTTCAAATTAAATCACTCAAGAATTAATCCTCAATAATAAATAAATAAAACTCAATAACTCATTAGTCTTTTCAACAACATCATAACTGACGTTCAATGGCCAATCCAGAACTATGCGGATTATAATGATAACAAATTTACGAAAAATATTGAAAACAATCCACATTTATTCAGTTTCATGTTCGACATCTCCACAGTAAACATATATGCTGTAGAAATTAATCAAGGCCGCCACAGATTATGTTGTGACTACAAATAAACGTGTCTGCCTCAATATAAGCTTTATGTTTTCAACTTTTTCAATAGCAATAAACGATTAAAAATTATAGCCCGCAATTTTCAAATAAATAACAAAGTTAATAAATATCTAGCTGGTATAATTAAATATTTAATATCTCGCTGGTCAGACCCTCCCCGTCAAGCGGCCATCTTCACGACGCAGGACAGGACGCCTCTCGTGGGCGTCATCAGCGTGCAGCCTGGCAGGCCCCTGGCGTCGCTCACGTGCGTCGTGGAAGGAGGTCAGGCGAAACCTACATGATTACCATTAACTTCATTTCAGTAGTTAATCTTCAAATATTTATGATTAAAAGAACTACTCGAATATTTTTGGTAGAGATACTGAGACACAAGAGATTCATTAACCCTCTACCGCCGTATTTCACTATCCGGGAACATAACTCTCAACTTAAATTATACGTAAACTATTGATATAGCAACCTGAGGACGTTTGTACGCAACAGAGAACATTTTAAAGTTGTCGTACGTGGCGGCAATTTATACGTAAACTATTGAGTGTAGCAACCTGAGGACGTTTGTACGCAACAGAGAACATTTTAAAGTTGTCGTACGTGGCGGCAACCATCAGTACAATTCATTTTGCGCTCACTAGAACGTATCCTTTTTTGGGAAGTAGGCTTGTGACAATATTGCTCCGGTTACTCGTGTCAGGCGCTAGAGGGTTAACTAGCACAAATACGCTGACATTTGTTTTTAAGCATATATAAAGACACAAGTTCTCAAATTTCGAATTATCACATCATTTGTTGTGGCGTTTCTTTTCGTCGTTAAGTGTCAATGGTAAATGAATTTATTTCATACGAAGGCTATCGCACATAAATATTTCGTCCCAAAGCTACATATTGTCCGACATCTTACATCTATAAACATGTTTAATCTCTATTCGTATCATCTCTTAAATTTGATTGCTGTTAAAATATAATGATATTTGTGACCATTACCGTTGCGCCGAATTTTACCAGAAGTGCTAATTTCATTTGTATTCAAAATTTTATCCCCCAAACTTTAAATTTATTTTTATTTATCTCTTGCCTATGCTTACAAGAACGATTAATTTTTTAGTATTTCATAAATGACGGGCAACTGCCTAGATCGCATACCCATTGCATAAAATTCTCAGTAAGCCTCTAATCTTGAATATATAATTGAAATTTGATTATATATGAAATTTGTATAAATGCGTGCATTTATTGGTTGAAAGCTGAGTCCGTTAATGAGATTGTGATTACCTTAGGTCTCGCAAATAAAACTTTTAATTGAAAATTGTTACTGGATAATAGCTTCGAACTCAGCATCCGTACGTTGACCTCATTGATTAAGTCATGACATTCATGCGTTATTCGACAGTCGACAAACTGTATCATTCCGTCAACTTGCGAGTAACGCGTCATTGGAGCTTTAAATCGCTTTTCAATTGAATGGAAGTTCCGCATCCCAAAGGATTCGAATCGACTGTTAAAATCGAAATTAAATATTTGTTCCAATTACACGAATTAAGCAATTAATGAATTAGTATTGCAAAATATATTGCATAATATTGCTTCGAGTCTTGTAACCTGTAAATATTACCAAGAATAGTGAACAATTTAATCGAAAAGGTTTCGCGATGTGCGAAGAGAAAACCTGCCTTATGAAGTCTATATCATACTATCGAATTTCGTACGCGGAAACTTTACGAGGTTTTTAAACATTTTCTGAAAGAACCACAGAAAGTCGTTATAGTCTAATCGATTATAATTATAAATGATTCACTTGTGCTGTTTCAATCGAAAATTAATTTTTGAAAAACTATTGTACCGTTTCATGTGGGTATTTCAAAACTCATTTTGTCCGATCCAACATTAGTTTCATTCAGCTATTATTAAATCAACATATTTTGTGCGAACTCAACGTGAAATCATGTTAAGATACCCTAAACTCACTTCGTGTACGTCTAAAGTTTTCTATTAATCAATTAAATTCTTCGAAGTTGATCAACCAACAAAACTGATGCGTGCACATCAAATTTAGCACAAGTTGACCACAATTACTCGCGACAAGTGCACATAATCAGTCCATTTCCACATACTATTGTATATTAATAAATTCGTTGGAGAGGTTGTCCATTTCATGAACGACCATTCTCGACACCTGATCGTTCAAGTCACGAGATCGTCACGATGCGACACACGATTGCATGCCGCAGAAGCGACCAGTGCTGTTGCAACACGCCCAGTTCCAATTATTGCTGTGCACGTGATTGATCTGCGATGTTCTCGCAATACACGGCCTAACGAGACCCTGTCGTGCTGCTAGTGGGACTTCTCGTCATGCTGTTGTTCTTGTTGAGGAGACAAGTTCATAAGACACAAGCTGTACAAGTTCATAGACCGTTGGGATCTACACTGATACTTGAAATTCAATGAAAAAGTTTTGAAATAAAAATTCAATAACAAAAGCAAGTGAAATTCCGCCTGAATTATTGACAATTAACGTTTCTCAGTTCACCAACTGTGGATGAGCTAGGTGACATAAAAATAAATTTTGTCTGCGAACCTTACCAGCTTACCATTTAAACCTTAAATTGACGAGACAGAGAAAAAATAGCGTGCACAAGAAATTTCAAGTACAACATGTATATACGAAAAATACACGAGGATTCGTCTGAAAAAAACTTTAAATTTTAACATTTTCAAGCCACGAGCACCGCTCGAAAATTTAGGAAAGGCCTCCTGAGACTCTTTCGGTCTCCGCGGGACATTGTTCTAAGCGGCATAATGTACTGATGGATGAAGGGGATTCTCGTGTAGATTACCGTAAGATGACCTTTCCACGATTCTCATCTATTTTAGTCGAATTTTTGAAGTTTTGTAACTCTGTCCCACGTCGCCGATGTACCCTGTGCACACTCTAAAAACCTTAAGATCGCAGCGGAATTGAAAAAATCTTTTACCTAAAGAATTATAATTTTTAATGCTATATATATGCATATATTGACATTAAGCAAACTTTAAAAGGATGTTAATTTTTCTTTCTCTGGACCTGTTTGTAAATGAACAGAAAATGAATGAATAAATACATTAATTTACAACCACTGGCGGTAACTGTATTTGTTGTCATCGCGCTGCGACTGTTTTCATAATTTCATTGAGAACAATGTGTATATATGACGGGAAAACTTTACGCGAGAAAAGATTATGCAAAAATATGAATTCTACATTCATTGCATGGATGGAAGAGCAGATTCAAAAGCCATGGTGCATTAACGTTGGAATTCCATTAAACTTGAAGTGAGCGAAGCAAAGCCAAAGAAGCTTAAACTGAAACTGGGAGAAATATATTTGCGGAATATTGTAGTCTAAAGGCGTTTACTGTAGACGTATTTAGATTTATAAACAGAGAATGTCAACTATTGCAAACTTCAAGCTCCATTATGCATTTTCTGCTTATGAATTTCAGGTTCAGAAAATCGGAGAAAACGTCATCATGTAAATGATCCTCAAAACTTTTGCGGATGTTGTCGACTTGGAATTACGCAGGCCTAACCAGTCAGTATTCAGTTATATTTCCATTTATTTTGTTGATCAAAATTAATCGATATCCGATTTTTTGCACCGAGAAGCATGGATTTGTGGGGAGTGTCTACCTCAAAAATGGGAAAAATTGCATATGTGTCTTCTGATCGCATTCTGTAGCTGGGAAGAATTAAGGCGCGTCCAACACGGTTATGTACCGTATGTATTTGCGAGCTTTAGTTTGTGCGTGAGGCAATTTCTAACTTGTAAAAAATGAACATTTTCAATTAAATGATACAAAGATTTATTTAAAAAATATATTTATTAATCATTATTGGCATTAAACTGGAAAACAATAGGTAGTACGTGATGGTACCCTCAATACGAGCACAAGCGATGGCAAAGCCGGAGCTTCATTAACAAGCAATTTTTAGCGCATTTTTTCATTTATGGAAAAAAAGGCGCTATTGTGCTAGCCATATGTTCGTCCATCCGTCTGTCCGTCTGTCTGTCTGTCCGTCCATGACTTCACGTTTTCGTCGACGAGAAAATGCGCTCTCTGTCACTCAGTGAGTACTGAGTTAAATTTTTTAGTCAAAGCTTCTTTTTGAACACGTTTCAGTTATTTGCCTCTCCTAAACAATTGAAATTTCCAGTTTACGCCATCTTAAAAAATTATATTTTACTTTGTTTACGTGCTACAACATCGAGAAACATCATTCGATTAGTTCAGCGAATATTTTTTTAAATCAACCTTTTAGCACATTTTCTCATTTATGGAAAAAAGGCGCTATTGTGCTCGTCATGCCCGTCCGTCCGTCCGCCCGTCCGTGTCGGACGGATGGACGTGTGAAAATAAGCTCTCATTCACTCACTGCAGTGAGTACTGATCTAATTTTTCCGTTTTTGGTGTTTTACATATGTATATGTAAAACATAGAACATAGTTTCATAAAGATCGGTCAATTATTAAAAACAATTTAGAGTAGAACCTTCCTTTAACAGACCAATTAGGTGAAAATCTCAGCCGTTACAACACACATTTCCCCCTACGGCGCGAGATAGCTTAGCAGCTGAAGCGCTAGTAATCATAGGGTCACTAAACTAACTAACTAACACATTTCCCTCTATCAGTGACGGCTCAATGCTAAGCGAATCGTGACTCAATCGCTTAGCATCTGCCGCTTTCCTTTGAATTGCTGAGTAACGAAGAAAGATCGCCTATTCAGAATTTCGGAGTTCTGAATTTATTTTCACTAACCCACTCTAATCTCCATCACCTACATTTATCGTCGCTTTATTCTTGCCCAAAAAGTATGAAACAAAAAATAATAATATCATCTTTTTAAAACAGTTTTTTGTGGATCACCACATTGGTATGTGGTGGCTACACTTAACCAATTTCAATTTGAAGCAACGTCCACTCAATCGTGTTGTGCACACAGAAGCCAAATATCAAATCAAAAGTTTCTTATACTCATGGCTGTCTCGATCGTGTCTGCCGACAACATTGGGATCACATATGAGCATTTGAATATCGCCTATGTTTATGTAGCAATCCTCAAGCTGTTGCGCCGAATATTGCAATGCAGAGAGTTGTAGATCGTCATGAAATTGGGTCTGGTTCGATTTAGTACGTCTGCTCAAGAATTGTCCTTGGTTTAACTTAAAACTAATTCAAAATTAAAGGTATGCTTTAACACCAGGCGGAAACCGGTATCTTTTCATTTGCAAGAAAATTCTTTCACAACATTCGTTTCAAATTATTAGGGTGTGCTGTTTACTAATAGCGAGAGTGGTTAAGAATAAACAATCAAATCTGAAAAATTGAAAATTAAACACTTGTTCATAATTAAGCAGTGTAAAAACGCCGAAATTTTTTCAGTAATAAACGATCGTAACTAAACGTATGCTAAATCACTGCAAGGATGTAAGCAACAAAGTTCTCTTGGCAAATGTTATGGATATTTTATAAATCCTTGCAAATTCGTGACATATGTCGACAAATGTTATCCACATTTGCATTACGATAGCTATATAATACCGATTCCAAAATCCGATACCTCAACAGCATGCGTTTAACTCATGGTGCACTGAATGATCGCATTTACTTACCTCTCGGCATCCAATTAGTAGAAAAAAGTCTCGAAAAATCTACTCATACCAACTGAAAATTACTTGCAGGCAATGCTAGTAGCTTGGTATTTCCGGATCGATGAAAGGTTGCAACACCACTCCGCCGGCAATTCCTTTAAAAACTCGTCTCTTCAATCCGCTCCTGCCTATTATTTATTGAAAAAACCTCATGTCATGGCATTTTTACAACTGCTAAACTTCGTACTTACATTAGTAGCACTAATTTTCATTCATGACAATAATTATAAAGAATCTGTTGCCCCATTTCGCACATATGTGAGAACACTATAGCAGCGATGTTTTCGAAAATAATTCGCATAAATTAAAATAGTAGATAGCAAGAAATATATGAACTCATAAATATACAAATTTTTACTAATATAGTTGCTTGCAGGATTCATAACGTCGGAAACATTGAGAACGTTGGCAGCATTAACATCTGTTGATGCTATTTGCTATTGGCAATTGGCAGGAACAACAAGCTCATGTTCACACATCAATCCAACGTGGTCACGCATCGAAGCCCCTGTTGCTTCTTAATTGACTTAATTATTGAATGGCTACTAACCTTGATAATTTTCTTTGCTGAGTGTGATGTGATACCCCCGTGGACATGCACATCATCATAACTGTAAGCCTGTCTTACGTAATGTATTGCGACATTTGAATATTTATGCCTGTCTTACGATATTATTATGCCTGTCGTGCGTGATGTATTGCCACATTTGAATATTTAGAGTCTGAAAGAGTCGCTGTATTTTTGTTGTGCAGGCGAGCCTCCGCCGAGCATCACGTGGTGGTCCGGAGACACGCCGGTCAGGACGCCGCGCTCTCCCACTGAAGCTGCGCTGCTACTCGCTGCCAGACGTAAGAATGCGCTGCTGCTTGCTGCCAGACGTAAGAATGCGCTGCTGCTCGCTGCCAGACGTAAGAATGCGCTGCTGCTCGCTGCCAGACGTAAGAATGCGCTGCTGCTCGCTGCCAGACGTAAGAATGCACGCAGCCAAGCTTATGAGCGGGGGAGTGTGCGCTCAATATTGATATAATCAGGCCGCGCTGTCTGGAGTCGGGCGCACGAAACGAACGTATGCAATGAAGGCGATATTATGCATTACAAGCTGCATTCCTTCTACAAGATCTTGCCCTCAAAATAACGCGCGCGTTATATGATGAAAATATATAAACACAGCAATATATTTTAGGAACACAAATTTTTACTCGCGTACTTATAACTGCTCGAAAGGAACAAAGGATTCGAACTATTCTAACTCATCATCATTCAACGACTGCAGTAGTTTTGGTTCACAGACTTCTTTTTTTAAAGACAGCTTATGCAATCAGAAAATACACGCTGACCAAATAAACAGTATCTTTGGCATAAGAACTCCACTTTCAATATAGGATCTGAACAATAACAACGATAAAAATGAAGGTAGAAATGTCGACTACAAAGGCAGTTGTCGTGTTATTAGAACATTATTACTAAAGATACATGAAACGAGCAATGTTACAATGTATTTGATAATACAGCTATTGCAATTTTTTTAGATTGTAAAGTAATCGCATCAGACTAAAGATTTCTATTTTCTGTCATCCAGGGCCATGTAGCGAAGACAGCCTCGACTCACGATATCGCGAGTCCACCAAATGTGTAGAGAACAACACACTTGTTGTCCGGAGTGAGAGCCGCCGTGGTGAGGCTCAATGGTCTTCTAGAGAAGATTCTGCTCTGCAACACCAAGAACATCGATCGCGCAACGACCGCTATCTGTCTACCGCGAAGCAAAGCAAAAGATCTTCGACGAATAAAGTCGTGCAGAGATGGGCCGCTGTGATGCCTAAACATTCTAAGTCTGGGCACGATCACAACAGGAAATTCTTTACCTCGGAGCTGAGTCTACAAAACCTGACGCAGAACTTACTTGAGAATCAGAACCTAACCTGCAGAGCCACAAATAATCCAGAACTAAGACCAGTCCGAGCCACTCTTCAGTTTGTTAAATTTGGTGAGTATATCAAGTACACGCATTTTTTCGATGTCTGCGAAAATAAAAACAAAATTCAAGCAGGCATTAATTATAACAATATTGAAAACAAAAGTTTTTGTGAATTTAGAACAAATAAAATATTTAATTTCGGTACTCTTTCCAAACGTAACTGATAAAAATCGTAATAATTGAATGACGTCGTACTTTTTCTCATCATTTGATGAGCTTACAAAGACTTAGTATTTTGTAGGCTAAATTTGCCTTTCATCTTTTGCAAATATTTACCTGAGATTTTTTTGCCTTCATTCAAAAATGCAAGCTTGCAAAAAATGAGCATAATTTTGTCCGCAGACTTGGAAATTCAGTTAAAATTTAATCCTGAAAATGTTTCCACGAAGGGGCTCAAGCAATTGCTACACAAAGCTGCATTTTCCGTTTGCAGAGAATGGTGAAATAATTTGTTAATTCCATAATAAATAGTTAATTTGTTTTTAGGAAATTAACTTTAGAACAGGTAATTACAGAAAACTGGAAATAAGTTTCTTTAAAGATAGACGAGTTTTTGAATTTTCATTTATATACAAATGAAAACAAATTTAAGAAACCCTTTATTATAAACAACATTTTTAATTATTTATTATTTCTTTTATTTATTATTTGGTAAACTTTTATTTCCAGTCCGTCTATCACTTGGCATTAAATCTTTCATTGAACGTAAATAAACACGTAAGCTGACATTTATAAACTTTAAAGTTTAAAGTTCTGCATTAACGTTGGACAATAAATGAAGCGATATAGGGGAAATAAACTTTAAATTGCTGTATTCTTTTAAGAATTGCAAGTCAGTCCCTGAGCGCTAATTATGCGGTTCACTACAATCACTAATAAACACTAGCAGAATATTGATGTCGTGTTGCATCGCTGTACGCAGTCAAGTCACACCTTTTAATAATCCTAATGCACGGCCAACTACCTTACGTTCAACTTGCCTGCGAGCTTTTTCTCTAATAACAATCTTTATTCATGGGAGACATAAAACCGGAGTTGAGGTAATCAAGTTCACGAGCATCGCCGTCTCTCAATCTAATGACTACATTGCTATCGTTCGGGATAAAATTAATTAATTGGCCGAATTAACATGCGTCAATTAAATTTTACATTCAATACACGAATGATTTATTCATCAGCCTATCATTAGGTAAAATAGCATATATGTATAAAATGTCTATAATTAATATTTTATGGTCGTTATATATTAGTGAGGTTATTTAGATTAGTACGTTAAAATATGAGGTAAAAGAGGTTCATATATCAGTAAACATTGCACTTAGCATTCTGGGTAATGCATAGCCAGCCATCCTGCTCGGAGCGGTAGCTCAATTAGTTGAGTGGAGTGATGTCCGTTATGTCATCCGCTGGTCCCTCGGTACTAATTGAACTTTTAATTGACACAACTCAGCAACTTGTAAACATAGCGCGCGCTACGAGTCGCCTTTTTGCTTTTTGCATCACTGAATACTTAACTAACGATCCTTACTGACGATAAATTCAACAATAATGAATATGAATCATCGTTTTTATACCACAGTTTTATTTATACGAAAATTTTCAAGTTGCCATGAAAAATTTTCCTGGTTGCTTTGCTTCATGAACGTAATCGTTCTGTTCAGAATAATCAAACCAGAATATTTTCATGGAACTTGACCTTAATCATTAATATTTTTACTATTCATTTATGAATACTTATGTTTACGAGTATCATAACACCAATAACATAAAACAATATTTTAATAATGAAAAATGTTCAGAACAATCTTCCAGCATCTCTAATTTACAACTCTAAAGACACATCAGTGCGAAATTTCCTGAAAATTCTTATTGCTGATCGCTGGGGGAAAATAGAACAGCGTGTCGGATATTTTTTGATCAAGATTCTAAATTTTTTCAATAAAATATTTTAGAAGAATTTCAGCTTTCGGTAATTTTCTTCGTTTAGTCAATTCAAAGGCCTCTATTAAAAATCCCAAAAACAATGTTTGCTTATTTCTATCAGGAAAAATTTTTTTATACGCTCTAGATATTCTATTCTTATGCTCATCTTTATCTTTAGCCCGCTGAACCTAAAAATAACATCAATCCATAAAACCCTGCATTTAAATACAACCAAATTATATTTATTTATATTTACTCGAAAAGTTTTGACGTGCTATTTCATAACAGTGCTGATCGGAGTTAAACTTTGATGCTGAAAATGTAATGCTCTCTAAACAAATCCCGGTCTTAGTTGCTTAAAAAATATCAAAGTAAAACCATAATATCATTAACTTTATTTAGAAATAGAATATTTGCATCAAGTGCCCCCGGAGAAGGTTTGAGTGCATCAATGAGCATCTCGCTTCGTTAAGTACAGAATATCAATCAGTAAGTTAGCTTTCATCTGCAACTGATGAAACTGCAACTGCCAACTCAGTAGTGGGCAGTGGTGGCTCTGATATGCAGACACTCAATCATTGTACGTCAAATTTCTCATCAAAAGTCATGTTAGGCATTAGAATTCTTCGGAGTCAGCCTGAAATATAATACAGTAATTGAACGGGAACAGGGAAATTTTAGAAAATTCTTATAGGCTATAGTGAAGGGGGTGCATCACGGTAATTACCCTTCATTGGTACTATATTGGTGTTAAAAAGCAACACTTGGTTACAGAAACACAAACACCTCTTAACAAATATTGATGTAATTATTGGCAAGGCAACAAGGCACGATGATTAATACTCAGCACTACTGTCAGCACAAGACTGTGCACCGTCTTGTTTGCTGTTCAACTGTGAAACTGAAACTGAAAAAATATCATCTGTAATGAGTCCTGCAAGCTCGAAGATATATAACAGTAGTTAATTATAGTTCATTCTGGCGCATTGTTTTAGCACTGTCCTTAATTACATGCATTAACTAAAAGTATTCACACGATTGCTGCAGTTTGTCCCTCTAAAAATCGTCTACAAAACTTAAACCAAAAATTTTCACACGTCGTGCCCAGAAAATAAATAATTTCAGCATTCTGTACTGATTTGCTGTAAGATCATCATGAAAACCCTCGCAATATATTGTTTTTATTCCAGCCAAAAACTGCCAACAATTCTGCTGCAAAACACGGCCGGTCCGTTTAATTAAATCTGATAATAAGAAAACGTGACAAGAATTCTGTGCGAATTTTAGTCTCCTGATTTCGCTAGAACCTGCACGCGCTCGTCTCATTTATCTTTCATGATTAATCAAAGTTTTGAATAACATGCGAAAAAGTGAAAAAATTAGCATGGAACTTTTATTATTTAGTTGAAGTAACTTTGCCTAAGTCAGATAATTATGAGCTAAAAAGTTAAAAGCAGAGACTAGAAGCCTTACGTCTTTTTTATTGAGGCTCGAAAAAATTGTTATCATGAAATTTCATTACCTTCGCTTCTACCTCATTGAATCAACGCATCAGTCAATCTAGCCATGGAAGTCTGCGGATGTTGTGCATGAAATTTAAGTTTGTCGTTGCATTCTTGCCTTTCGATCCAGTTTTGGCCTTTTAAAATCCGATTCGTGAAGCAATGCTTTGGGTAAGTAAATGCTAAAACTTAACACGGTCTTTTTCCCAAAACAATATCATAATACACTCTCAATCATTAGCGGTGGTCTAAAAAATAGCGGTCTTTTTCTCCACAAAATTACTTTGAAACCGGAATTTAATCTTGCAATTCCATTCTCGCCAGTTCCACCGCTGTCAGTTTCGTTCCCCCTGCCAACGCTCCCTCTGATCGGTGGTCGCAAGTACGAGCTGAGGTGTTCCGCTGGTCGACTGCGACCACCACCCGTCCTCCTCTGGACCATCGCTGGACGGCCCATCACCACAAACATCAAGCAGGTCTGTATCACCTACCATTCACACACTCCGCTAATTTAATTATTCGAAGAAAAGTCAATGCAATTAAGAAAAGCTACTAAGATCCAATTTTGGCCTTTTTAAATTCGATTCGTGAAGCAATGCTTTGGGGAAGTAAATGCTGAAACTTAACACGGTCTTTTCTACAAAACAATTTTTTTATACAGAATGCTGGATAGTTTCTACTCCCGAAATGATCAGAAACAGGACACGAGACACGATCCGTTCACGCGTTCATTTATGCTGTAATCATACCTTGGTTATGCTAAGCTGGTACAAATCTAACTTGAAAGTGAGTAGAACGTACCTGTTAATTTGTCTTGATGAACTCTTAATTTATTAATAATTTAACGGCCGAATGTGCGAAGTAATGCACTTCCTGTTTGTCAGACGAAAATTGCGTCGTTTAAAATTAGTTGCAAATTAAAATGTACTCAAGAATATACAATCCGCTGTAATTTCCAATCCATTCAACATAACTATCAATAAAAATCCCCTTTATGATGCTTTGGACTCACTAAACCACGGCTATCTTTATCCCTTCATTGTTCAACCAGGTGATCGATTATAGATCGTCATGAGCCAAGATGAATAAGTGCAGAAGCCTCGGGCGTATCTTTATTTGCCAGTGAGAATATAACCGATACTGAGAGTGATTGACACAAATGGAAACTGAATAATACTTATGAGATAAACTATTAAAAAGTTAAATAACTATGAATGAATTCCAACATGAAAATCGTATTGATAAATCGGTAGCTATTAAAACAAACTATTGAAATGCTTCCTAAGTATTCGCACAGGAATATCCGCCTCGACGAATACATCAACTTACACATGACCTAATAATTAATTAATATATCCATTGTTTTACATTTGCGCGTAAACTTACCTTGCACATCAACCGCCTACGTAAAACAATTAAACTCCGCTTATAACTACTTCGGCATGAGCCACGTTCATCTCGCTCGAACATACAAATAGAATATAATCGCAATATGCTCATTGTTCAATCCCTAACAATGGAACATAACCTCTTTTATATATGAAACTCAATCACTCCAACGAACAACAGGTGCATGTGAAGCTACATGAAATAGAAATGCTACGCGATCTGTCATCGTTAAGTGGTTGATTGTGTTGTGCTGTACGATACATTAGCGTACACGAGCTTGCTTCAGCGCATAACAAATTCATGGCGCTTCTTTATCGGATTTCAATTGATCGCCGCTGAGTTGTTCGTGATTGGTGCACTGCCTACACTAATAAGTGCCTTCCGTTACACTGGTATGGATACGATATCTCTCTAGTGATCCCATTCGAATATGAACGTGCAAATAAGGTTAAGATCGGTTTCATTGCATATATTTCAATAGTTTCTATGTTACAGAAAGGTGAGCAGTTGAAAGTTTTCATTCTTGATTGGGCGAATGATGCGTGTAGAGTACAGTATATTGGAAATAATTATTTATATCTTGAGATACGATAACTTTAATCTTTAAGGGATTCAAAAGAGCAATGTCTGTTTCGGAACTTTTTTTTGTTGGCTGGTAACTGCAAGAAAATTCGAAGTTCCAGAAGTTATTTAAGACGCTCATAATAAGTAAAAAGAGCGTACCAGCCCACCTTGTAAAATTGCTTTACCTTGAGTTTATTTACACTCATTTTTAACCCGAGAAACGATTACCTCGGTTGAGTAGTTATTTCTTATAAAAAGAACATTGATTAACCCAGCTGACTCATTATTTTTCATACTCGTAACAACTAAATCAGTCTTTTTTTACCCCAGATATGATTTACCTCAGCCTATTTACCAATCTAACATTAAACGCTCAGCTTCGCTAGCTTACCACTTACAGACAACCTCCGATTATAGAGCTTCTATTTATTAATAACCTTTTATTTGAGGGCTTCCTCCTCACAGGATTTCTTTGTATGTAGAAAGACAACAGTTTTACCCTCATTGTTTTCTCGATTATTTTGAGTGAAACAAAGATCTCATCTTGCATTCTCAAAACCTCTGCTTAATCGTTCATGTTTAAAGCTACTCTTGTTTCCATAAAGTCAATAAACTTTTTAATCCACCCTGAATCACTTCTAATGAGGATACTCTTTGATGAAGGTCATTTAATTTGATTTTACAATCTTGATCTTACTGCTTTCATTTCTGAATGCAAACAAAAAATATCAGCAATGTTGTTACTTTTTATCGTGATTTTTACTTTCATTTCACTTCATTATTATACTTCATTAATATTTTAATGTTGTTACTTGTTGCGTTTTGTTGTTACAGGATTTTTAAATATTTTTATTATACTTTTCCCTTTCCTGAATACCTACAGAATTTCTGTGTGATGTCGATCTATTTCATTTTATATTTGAATTTTGATTTTTCTGCTGGTAAGACTTTCTCATAAATTCAATTTACGAGTTCCTCATAACCTCGTATTTAGTTAATTTTTTCTCATTTACCACATCTAGATTTAGTTCCGCATGAAATTTGCAAGCAGCATCATTTGGAGACTCCGGTTATGCAAATAATTTTTTTCTAAAAATGATAAAAAAAAGTAATGCAACAAATCCTTAGAATTTCAACTATATAATTGAATACCTCTTATATGAGATATGAATGTTCTATTATTTCTTGAACCAATTATATCAAGACCAGCCACTGTATAGGAAAATTTGTTTTAAAAAGTTAAAGACTTTCTGACGGGCGAGAAATTGTGTCATTGTCATCCAATATAACTTTTCAGCTCATTCTTCTGCAGAGCATTTTCATCAGTTTCACTCAGAAGCATCAATTCGAGTAGACTAACTTCGATCTGATTCGATAAAATGTGTCTAGAAAATTATCGGAATACATCCTTCATTCCAGTGATAACTTTTTGCATTTCATTTGAAAACTCGGTTATAGTAACTACAATTTTCCTATTGATTCTTCCTCATCATTCATGGAAGCTTAGTTTGACTCTAAAATTTCAATTTTGATGAATGGCTAATCAACTTTCCCATCAAGGTCGTGTCTTGATTGATGAAGGGTTATTATCAAGTGCCCTTGCGTGAATCCAACAGGGAAATTACAGCATTCACTCGAATAATAATCAATGGCAGTTCAGACGTTTGCCTTTCGGGTTGAAGACGGCCCCTTCGGATTTTCAGGGAACTCTGCAGAATATTTTGTACAAAGAAGTTTCTAGCGATATGGTTAAAATTTACAATGATGATATTCTCATTGTCGAATCTGATTTTATGTCTCATGTATCCCTCGTGCATAAAGTTTTGTCTATTCTGACCGAGAATGGCATTAAGGTAAAGCATCAAACATCAAAATGTACGTGCATGGGTATCACGCGAAGTGGAATTTTTGGGTCATGTTGTGAGCGAGTCTGACATTCAAAAGAAACCAAAATTCGTTGAAGCAGTACCAAAATATCTTAGACCAACGACAGTTAGAGATCTGCAGAAATTCTTAGGTTTGACTAATTTTCAAAGAAATTTGTGCCCTTTTGTTCAGACCTAATGCAACCTCTTTTGAACTGTGATCTGTGCCACGTTTACCCTGAACAACCGGAGCGATAACGACCCGACATCAAAATTTTGCATTTTATTTATATCTCCGATATTTTACACTTTATTTATTACATTAGGTATTCTTAAATGTTCAAGTGAGTATTTTTGTATTCACAACACACGCAAAGGCTAAAGTACATTAATTTCGTCATCAACTTGGTCAATTATTTTTTTTTCGGACAAAACTATGCTAACTTTAGAACCCTGGAGTATTCACAAAGTCCCGACTTCAACGATTTCAGACTTGAATCACCATTAGAAAGTTCAATTCGTCTTTTCTAGAAGCTTCAATGATTTAATAGAAGTCTTTTCTAGAAGCTTCAAAGTATTATTTTTAAACCAACGTCGCATACTCTTCTGAATTATATGCGCTTACCATAATAAGAAAATTTATTTATATACGTTTTAAACTCAACTTTCAATGGTAAACCAAAAGTGTCGACGTGTTACACTCGGAAAGCAAACTTTTTAGGGCTTGGTTTTTAGTCAATTCATCAATGCATCTTGAACGAAAGTAAATGTATCTAAATAAAAATCAATTTATATTACGAACTTCTATCATAAAACGCTGAATAATAATTTGGCAGCTTTCAGACTGATTCGCGTCTGCAACGTTAATTTCACGTATAAGATTTCCCTTAGAAAACTCTGCAGTACTTCGTCCATCGCACTACAAGAGAATCCCTAAATTTCCCCTAATAAAATTGTTGACATGAATCAAATCGGTCATATTAATTTTATACATACTGAAATTAACTCGCCGTTTTGCGTTGCCAAAATGACAGAAAGGCCCTCGATCAGCTTTAAAACGGTGGTCAATTATATCGCACGAGGTTTTCACAACTATGTTTTTTCTTCTCAGAATCACTCCGTGGACACAAGCGAGTCCGAACTCATTTTTGAGGCGAACCCTGGAGATCACGGCGCTGTCCTGGCCTGTAGAGCCACAGCCCCAACACTACCTCACCTCTCTATCACCAAGAACATCACACTCGCCGTCACTTGTGAGTACTTCAGATGCTCAGTGTACCACATGCACCCACAATTATATTCAAATGATAGCCACTTCTATTCATTTCATTTATCATGGAACTTGAGCTGCATATATTTCAATATATCTCGCTTACTTTAATCGGACTATTTATTCAGGCTGTGAGATAGGATATTACTTATAATCTCCCTGTGCAAAATTATGATTTAAGATTTCCGCAATACGAAATGAACAAAAATTAAATGGTTAGAACACTTGCACTAGCAACTGCCTGTGCTGTTGCCAGAATGAACAAAATTAAATAGCTAGAACTCTTGCATTAGAAACTTCTGTACTGTTGCCAGAATAAACAAAATTAAATGGTTAGAAGACTTGCATTAGCAACTGCCTGTGTTGTTGCCAGACGTGCCCAGCGCGACGCTGCAGGTGTTGGGTGCGCGGGACGGCGCTGTGGGAGGCTCGCGCTTCCATACCGGCGACACCGCGACGCTCGAGTGCCGAGCTGAGGCCAACCCTCCATCTTACACCGTTGCTCTTCTCAAAAATGTGACTTATATTTAAATTTATCAGTGTAGTTTTCCTAAAAAATTTTCAATACTTTTCAGTCGAAATGCATTCGTTAGTCGCATTTCCTTTGAATTAATAGAAACTTCACGAATTCAGTTTTTATGTCGCTCAAACTAAAGTGAGTTGCTGCTCTGTCAGCTTCGTCTTCTAATGCACTGAAATTATTCGACCTTAACCAATTGAGTTTTTTTTTAAATTTATAGCTTTAAAATATCATGAGCTTCGTGTTTGTAATACGCCAATTATGAGAATAGTGGCCAGTTTCTGGCCCGGCGAAAGTGGTGAAGACTTTTCAGTGCTTCAATCATTCAACAAAGATGCACTTCCTACCACAATGATGTCAGTCCAATGACGTGATAATACTATGGATAAAGTACAATAAGTTTATTCAATACTAAATAAATGGCAGTTTTGCTTTCTACTCGACTAAGCCCTACCCTGATGCTTCATTTGCATCGAGCTTCAGTAGCTAGCGCCTTTTGGTTACAGACTCTGTATGCATCGCCCACTCTTAATCGAGTTGAATGTTTTCAAAGATCAAAATTATTTAAATATCCAGAGGAACTAGCGAATCTAACGCAAGTTTATGTATGATAATATATTCAAAATGCAATTATGAAAATATAGTATTTTTCACTGAGATTAAATTAAATTCATGCGTCTTCAGGAAAGTTCTGCCCCTCCAGTTGCCCCCTTTTAATCCCAGTTCTATTCGGCGTTCAGTGATATCAGCCTTTTTCAAGTAAAATCTAAAAATCATCCCCTGCTAGCCAATATTTGACACATGAATAAACGAGATGTGAAAAGGGAGCGTAACTTGGAGCAAAGCTGACCGATTTTATTATTTTTCTGTCCATGGTGCCACCCAAACTAATATCCGCCACCAATAAAATGAACGAAAGTTTTTGGTAACCTTCTAACCAGTGTATAGCGTATTGCCTACGCAAACCCGATGATATTTTTCCTTAAAAATTCGAAGAATTTTGCCCTGAGCTCACATTGTTATTGGTGGGCCTTTTGGTTGTTGTCCAAATCATACCTGACGTTGGTCAGTCGCGAATTTTTCGCCTCAAAATAATCGTTATCCACAAATCTAATTTGAATGCAGCGAAACTCAATTGACTCACGCGAATTAAAAGAAAAACGCTTCCAACAACAAACTACGGCAATAAACTACGGTAACAAACTTTGGTAACAAACTACGGTATCAATATATGGTAACAAACTACGGTAATAAACTGCGGTAACAAATTACGGTAACAAACTTCGGTAACAAACTTCGGTAACAAACTACTGCATAGCTAGAACATGAAGACTATTTTAACAGCTATAATTATTTCTACCTCAAGTCCATGTGCCGTTAGACATTTACTTTCACAAAAAAAAATATTCTGAACAATGTAGCTCGTCATGAGATGAAGAACTACTGTTTAAAGGATTTTGGACAACAAATCAAGTTGTCATCATATTGCACGTAACAAGGACGGTTATCGTGAGAATTATAAAAAATTAAATCATCAAAAGGCATTCCTATTATTTATACTTTTAAGGTTCGTTGCTTACACGATTCCTTTACGATAATCATTAATTAAGTTCCATATTTATGTAAGACTTTTGTAATATAATATAAGGTGGTCCAAACTAAATGTAAAGACAAACCACTCACTAGTTCAGGCCACAACCACGCAAGAGTTGAAAAGAAGCATAGGAGTGCCGCGTTTCTTCTCTAAATTCCCGAGGTCTTCCATTCAGAAGGTCTGCTCATACGTCCGAGTTTATTACAATATTAAATCTCTCCGCGCGCTTGCCGTTGCGGGACTATTTTCAGGAAATGGCTGTGCTCTCGAGAGAGCAATACCTCCCGGAAATGAATTGTTGTTTATGCCTAAAAATGTTGGCTCCTTTTCGGGTTTATTCTTAAATTTACGAGCTCACTATCACGTCAATGAAGCGGGACATTTTAGCAGGAGCATCAATTGTGGCATCTCATGCATTTATTCCGTCATTGGCGCAGTTTTTTCGTGTCTCGTGGGAGATGAGAAAAATTTTTGTCGAACACTTTGCTTCTAAGAAGAATTTGGACCTGTTGACACGCCATGAATTTCTACATCTGAATGATTTTCTGACGTCGCAAATTTTCAGTTTTTCCAGTTTTTCCAGTATTAATTTTCCAGTATTAAAATTTCAGTTTTTCCAGTATTATTTACAATGTTTTTCATCATAGTGCATCGATCACTATTATTACATCTTTATTTCGTTAATCATATTAGTTGTATGATGAATGAACAGCCTAAAATATTTTGAAGGTTCGCGTAGTCAATATATATTAAAATGTCTAAAAGCAACGAGCAGATTTCAAAAACAGATTATATGTTCAGTGCAATTAAACGAATAAATTGTCATTGCAGCACTCGAAGCAACAATGAACGTAATATGCGTCAAATGAAACGCTATTTGATTGAAGAGATGATAGTGGCATCGGTAAGTCTAGAACTTGCGAACCCATACATTTAATAAAGAAATTTCGCCTCTGAGCCGGTCTTTTTTCTCCCCATGAAAGAACTAAGTTCATATTATTAAAGTAACCATACGTTGTCAACCATGTTTTGTCAACGTCACTAATAAGCTATTAAACATACTTTTATAGGGGCGCGCCGTAGCGAGGGCGGAAGGCATCGTAGCAGAAGGCAACAAGATCCTGCTGATGAACTTGACAGATTCTGATGCTGGACTCTACACGTGTGTGGCCTCAAACTCCGTCGGGGATGGTCAGAGCAACGCCGTACCTCTGCATGTGGACTGTAAGTCTGTACCTTCCATATTGTCATTAGAATAACTGAAATTACGAGAATTAATAATATAATGAGTGTAAAGTGATGTAAGCGGAGCGTTGTTTAAGCCTTGCATCCGGAATTTTGTTCGCATTTACATAGCACTGCACGATATAATTGTCTGTAAACTCTGTATACTCACTGAATGTTTTTACACGCATTATTTCCAACTCATAGAATGAGAGATAAGCCATTTTTACTCAATCGTTGATGTTGAAAGTAATGCATTTGCGTTGTGAATGCAAACTATATTTTCTCAATATCTACAGGCAATAAATATTCAGAGCGTAGATTGCAGTGTCAATTTTTTATTCGGACCATAGCGGCTTAAATCTGCAGTGTCTTTTGCTTCAGTTCTGCTAGAGGAACTGGTGCAGTGGTAATTAAATTTATGTACTATCATTTGTATTCCTAGTTCGGAAGAAATTGATAGGAAAAAAATACCTCGAGTGAAACCCTAAATCATGGAAGCAGTTCAGTTTGCCTTCAATCCGAGCTCAGAGTACAGATCATCAATCAGCAAACTTGAACTTTGAATTTCCGAGAACAAGAGCATGACTCCGTAAAATTAGCATTGGGATGGTAACTTTTTTAATGAAAATCACAAAAACACTTCAGCCGCAGAGAAATCTGAAATTGAGTATATTCTGCCCGAATTCAATAGCCGTTTAATGATGATAATCCATAAAAATGTTTAATGTATGCAGAGAAGATAAAATTTTAAGGAGGATAATTTTTGTTTCAGCAATAGCAAAATTACAAAACCGAAATACTAGCATTTTTGTATCGATCTAAATAGAATGCCAAGCAATCATCTAAGAGTTCAGAAGAATGTTAATGGTGCTGAAATTACTGCAGAAGCACCATTACTTATTGTTAACATTGACGTTATTAACATTATTAGAAATATGGCCCTTATTAACATCAACGTTATTAAAATTATTAGAAATATGGCCCTTATTAACATTGACGCTAATAAAATTAATAAAAATATGGCCCTTGTTGACATTAACGTAATTGAAATAATTAGGAATATGGCACTTTTTAACATTGACGTTATTAAAACTAATAAAAATATGGCCCTTGTCAACATTGAGCAGACGTGCCGCACTGCCGGACGTCGGACGTGCAGGAAGTGATGGCGCTGCCTGGGGAGACCGTCGAGCTCGCGTGCCACGTGGCCGCCTCGCCCTCACTCGCTCTCACGTACGACTGGTGGACCACAGAGACCGCGCGCACCGGGACTGTGAGTTTATTTATTTAGTAATACTCTTAACTTGCAATATAAGTAATATGTGCTTGACAACAAACAAATGATGTTATTAACATTTTTGCAGTGAAAGATATGTGCCAGACACCAAACTCCAACTTTATCGACCCGTATAGGACAGCCCCGTGCAAGAGCGCAAATTAATAATTCCGATACCGTTAATCCTTACCGCTTAGTGATATAAGCATCAGATAAACACTTAATTATAAATAGATCCCATTGCGCAAATTTTTCTTGTAATTCCCGTTGCTTCTTATCCTACGTGCAGATGATGAAAGGCCGAAGCAATATGTCGTTTGTATATTGATTGACTCGTGCAATCAGACAATCTAGCATCAAACTGGCAGTAACGATGCAGATGCATGAGCTAAAAATTTAACTCATTATGATCTCAAATTTTTTGATTAGTCTAAAAATAAGATCTTAGTGTTAAGACACCAGCAACAGCAACCCTTAGCAAGGCCAACACAATATATTTTCACGGAATAACAATGTACTAGGCATCAGAAAAATAATTATAAGCTGACTAGATTTATAATTTACATATTAATTATTCCATTTATTGAAACTACGCTTATATATAGATGACTGTACAAAAATTCTGGAATAACTTACCTTTACACTCGTCGTCACTTAATCTGGTAAGATTCTCTGATATTATCAAATCATTCATTAGGATTATTGTTTTTATAATCAGATGTCTTTATGAAGATTATTTATTCTTATCATATTTCTGAATGTGATGAATTTAATAGAAGTTGGAAAGTTGTTCAGCATCGTTATCATGCGATGCATTTGGCTACTTATTTTTACCTTTCTTTAATCCCTGATCCTCCTATACCATATTTGCAGATTACTCGCCAGAAAATCCACCACCAAGACTCGGGCCTATTTTCGACCGGTTGGTTCACAATCAGCAACCATTCGTATTCGTCGCTCTCGGCGCGAATCAGAGATGTTCTCAAAAAAGAGCGTGAGCCGCAGCAGCAGAAGGACGCTATTAGTTCTCCTGACACGTTCCCCGGAGAATACCTTGATTTGAGGCCTCCAGGTTACAAGGAGAGCTACAAGCATCAACAGCCAGCTAGGCAGGCTGCCGTCAATCAAATGTTGGCCGAGACCAACAGTAAATCGAAGAGAGATGGCTGGGAGACGGTGCTGGAAAACTTGCGATATCAGGGCGATACTCGTCCAAATTCCCACGCGTTTCAAATCAGCGATTTGAGCGACATCGAAGATTTCGACGATGAATTAATGTGGGCAACGTTAGCAAAACAAGTTTTAACTCGGGAAAATAGAATGGCAGATTTCATTGGGCATAAAATAGAAAATATTTTCCCAAAACAATCCAGCTTCCTGAACAAGTCAGGTCAGCCACACGAGCGGAAAGCTCGGTCAGCAGTGAACGGCCCGTCAACAACAGCTATTGATGACAAGGCTGGTCATACACTTAAGCCCAAGACTTCATCCGAGAGAGCAGATTTTATCAAGAATAAAACTACCGTCATTCCGAAATATGCCGAAGCAAAAGAGCAATCTCTTATTCAAAAATTGAATCACATACATATGACGAGAAAATACTCGACCTCTATAGCATCTGTAAGTGAGATGAATCACGCACAGGGGAATGGAAATTTTCGTGTTTTTCTTAATGCTAGCCAAAAACTTCTCGGTGTCACAAGAAAAAAGTTGAAAAATATAATGAATTATATAGAAGAATACGACCAGAATTATGCGTCTCACAATAAAGATGTCGTGTTAGAAAGAGATCTTTCACATGAACTATTGGAAAGAACGTTGAAACGGTTAATAACAAATGAGAGTACCTCAGACGAGCAATTATTGTTGAAGCGACGCAATCATCGCGTCAAGAGGCGAGATGATGAGTCAGCAGAACAGCACAGAGTCGAGTGCTGGGCCAGCAATTCTGTTGGAGCGTCTTCACAACCTTGCGTCTTCCTCATTCACAAAGTCGGTGAGTGAAATCCGTGAGGTCCCAGTTTTAAATCAGTGTATTTTTACCTTCAAATGAAGGTTATTTTTCCGTTATTGCAAATTTTACGTTTCATCAGGGGGTCTTATTAATTTCTTTTCAATCAGGAATTGAATCAATTTAATTTTCCAAAATGGAAGCGATTACAATACAAAACGATGTATCCAACAAGGTTGCCTAAAACGAGTCAGAATTAATTTGTTCACTCACGTGTCGGCAGTAACACTTCTTTTCGACTATTTCTTAGCAGCTCTTTGATATTTTTAATGTCCAAAGATATTTCCCATGAACAATTTCAGATAGAAAATTTAGGATTGTTAAGGGCTGAATTGTTCCTCACTTCAGTGCCACCATCAGCAGTGACGCACTGCACCACGAGTGACGTGACCGCGTTCTCTGCGCTGGTCAGTTGCACAGCCGGCAACTCCGGAGGTCTACAACTCAAGTTCATTATCGAGGTGACGCTCGACCACCAATGTAATATATAACTCAGATTTTCCTTAGAATATCATCAAGAATATTACACATGAAAATTTAACTTGCACAGTATCAACTTTGAGGAGCGGTATCAACGGCCGAAAATGAGCATTGTAAATATCTTGGAATGGTCAACCTACAATGACCCCTCTAAATACGAAGGCAATGAAATACCTTTCAACAGCATTTTATTCTTGTCAAATTAATGTAACTATTAACTTATAAATTTAAAATTGTCTTTAAATGAATATTTATGTCAGGTCGATCATAATTGGATGGTGTTGCAGCAACGAAAATAATTCAACAGCTTCTCAACAGATTCGAGCAAGCATAGTTTTACATTACAAAACTTCTTTGAGTATCATTGGTAATCATTGAAATTGAACACAAATTACTTAAAGTGATTGCTGAATAAACCAAGAAGAATGTCTTCCTATGTGAGAACATTTGTTGTCGACAGAAGATATCGAGCGAACAAAAAAGTTGCAATTAACGGAGGGGATGCCCATCTGACTTGACAGTCTAATAAGCAGCAATTATGGCGTCCTAAGAGAATCTATTCATGCACTAAATCCTCGATAAAACCCTTTGTTAAAAACTCAGCATATTTCTCGGTTATGTGTATCTATAAGCATATGCGCTAGAAAGGCTATAAACCGAGTCAAGATTAATGTGAACGCCACAAATCCTAATTATTTGATCCTAAAAAATTTAAATGTTGAATAATTCACTGGCTGGCAATATCGAAACTCGAGTAACTCAACTCGAGCGAACATATGGCACAAGTTATTAACGAATTTGCATACTGTACCTATTTTTCATTGAGAAATCCCAATGAGACATATTTTTCTTCTTCAAAACTCTAACACTAGTGATTCAAACCAGGCGTTTCATCCACCCCTGCCATCAGTATAATATCAAGAAGATAATAACCATGCAATGTTTAATTCATCCTAAAAAGGATAAATCAATCCAGACGATGCAATACGTGACTGTTGCCACTCAGGTGCGTGAGAGCGACAGCAATGAGCTGAAGTATCAGGCTACTTGGCACGAACCTGTTTTTCCGCTGGAGAACCTGAAGCCCGAGATGAATTATACGGTACAAATTCGGGCGATGCACGACAAGGGTAAAAGCAAAGCCAGCACTCTCGTCCTCACCACCAAGCCCAGACCGCCGCAACAGGATATTGCTCCAGAAACCGTGCGAGCAAACCGTAAGTTAATCATACTGTAATCTCGCCAATTTATAAATTTACATGAATTTGAATTAAGTTTGAATGTGCACGAGTAAAAAAATTTTTCGCCCGACGAAAGAGTTAGTCTTTTAATGAGAGATCCATGCTCATTAACAATATCAAAATGTTATAAATTCTACTATCGGAAATACATGTGTTCATGGCAGAGTTGAATTAAATTTTCGTCTTTCATATAATTTCGTCTTTCAGTGGAGCAAGGTTCCGCACAGAATTCGCCACCTCTCCCCTCTTCAAGCGGGACCACATCAAGCGTTAGTGTCGCTGTTGCGCTCGTCGTAGGAGGGGTTGTCATTGCCGCCATACTTGTGGCCGCGGTCGTGCGATGCCGGTCAATCCTAGCGGCATCGAAAGGCCTTCCTACAACGATTAGAGCTGAGGGAAAACGAGCAGAGGTGGAACCCAATGACCTCAACCTCCAAAACTGCGAGGTCATCGAGGACTGTTCCAGTGACAGCTTCGTCGCAAGAGGTCGCGATGGCAAGCAAGACAAAGACCACGCGGCATCCCGGGAATCTTTACTGAGCGCGAGAGATGGCACGGAGATATCGACCGAATACTCGCCTGTACTCCAGAAGAATCCGAGTAAGTTTTTAAGTATACGTTCTAAGTTGATCTAATTCCATGTGTCATGTCTATAGGTATTCGATGATCTTAATTGGTCGTATCATCAGTCGGGACACTTCTGACTCAAGTCATCGTTGCTTCAGAAAGTGGCAGTCCTAACATGTGTATACTAAATGAGAAGAATTTAAAATTTCGAGAAAAGTAGGAACACAAAACTATGTGAATATCGTAGTTAAGTTTCAAACCAAATTATTTTTCCTTGCTGATTGCTGTGTTTTAGATGATGGGGCTTCGTTATTTCATGTATGTTAAGCAAATCGTTGATCTATCCGCTGTAAAAGAATTCGCAAATCGTTTAGCTTTATCAAGTTTAGAACTTGTAGCTGTAATTTTTTCCTGAAGTTACACTTTGACTGACAATGTAGGTATTATAATATTTTTCCCGATAAAATAAAAAATAAAAAATTGTGCAAGGAAATTTTTGCAATGCCTATGATCACTCATTCGACTTACAAAGCATGCAAAACAAATATTAACATTCTGGGTAACCTGGAAATTATGAGTCAAATTCACACAACATCGTAATATTGATATAAACATTCAAATTCTGATTAGCCTAAAGCCGCATTTTGCTGCTTTAGCCTAAAAGCCGACACATCGAAATTTTGATATCATGTTGCCAGAAGGAAATCAAGGAACCTCACGCCCTAGCTCGAGGTCCCAGCGTCGCTGCAACTCCAAAACTTCGCTTGACAAACAAGACTCGCCCGACCTGCTGCCCAGAAAACCAAACAGAAATGTTCCTGAGGTCAGCTCTGATTCCTGGGTAAGCTTGTTATCTGGAAATCCTTCTAAATTACTCTGAAAATTTGTTATGCAAAAAAAAAAGAAGAATCTTGTGATGAATTTCGAACAACGAAAATCTGTGATAATAAAATTAGTAAATAAATGAATGAGATCTAATTGAATTGACTTTGCGGTCTTTTGTAATAACACACAAAAACCTTAAGCCAGCCTTCCTATTTTTCTAACTCCTTCAAGCAACTTTAACTGCCAATGACAACATAAAAGTCCATTTCAAAAATAGCTGTGCAATTATTATAAACGAAAGTTTTAAGTGGTAAAATTTTCAGAAATCCTGCGGGCGACAAATGTTCAAAACGACCCAAGTACATAACATTTTCGGTCTAGGCAATGGATTTATTTTTCATAGTTTAAGCTGCTTTAGGTGAAATGTTTGTAGTTTTCTGAAACGTAAGACATGCATTCTATCTCTGTCTATGCAGCTGTCGGTGAATGCCTTACAGCTGCAGCGAGAGTCCCAAAGAAAAGGATCAGCCCATCCTTTGGCAAGTCTTCCTCAAGCTCCCACTCATCCTTCCCAGCCCTACCAGCCTAAAGTTGCAAGCTTTCCAGTTTCTGTACCCCCGCCTTACCTTTCTCAATGTTTACAATTAAACTCAGCAACTCTGCAAAACATACGACCAAACTTAACTCCTACTCCTTCAAATTTAGGTCCTCACAACCAAGCAGGTTTATTCGTCAATGACAATAGTTATCCTAAGCCTTCGTCTGACAAAAATTTTCTTCATCCGAATCTTCCAGAAGATAATTTTACTCAGTCCAACTCTTCGGGTTACGCTAATGTGTCACCTAACTTAACTGGGCTCAAGCCAACCGTATTATGTAACGGCGGAGTTCTTAGTCAGTACAGTACGGTAGCTTGTGATCCCTCAGCTCAACTTGTATTAAATAGAGGCTCACAAATTGTGCCTGTGCTCCTGCATGATAGAAACATAATATCTCCTGCACCTTCTTCATGTTCATCCCTGGAATCATCTTCCACCGCTCACCAATCTTCTTCACCAGCCACTTGCGGCCAACACCCCTTGTCGACCTTTCAGTACTCGTCACCCAGCCATGACAACAGACCCAAGGACTTGCATGGAAAGCAACATAGAAATCTCCAGGACTCGGCATCAAGGGATTATTCTCCATCGTCGGATTTAGGGAAGCACGACATCTGCAGCACCGCAAACGACCCTGGCCCACCTCCAAATGCTACATCATTCGAAAGCTTAGCAATAAATTTGGAAGATCTTCCTCCTCCTCAGTTCACATCCGACGGAGGCCAGTCTATGAAAGTAAATCAGGTTCTAGATCACAGAGAGGAGACGTCCAACACTAACGGAGAATTTTCCAACACAGCCACCATTCGCAGGGGCAATAAGACGAAATAGCCTACAATAAAATTACCTTGGTCACGATATCATCCAGAAACACTTTTATATTTTTCTATTCAATCGTATGTATAGTATCACAGTCATTAGAATTAATTTCTATCATAATACTACCAATTGGATCCAAGGGAGTCACTAGGTTATAAGGACAAAGGGCTAGGCCTCTTGAGGTTAAAGATCATATTTATGTTAATAATGACTGGTTGAATGATTATTATATTCAGGCCTCAGATGATTAAATTTTTCGAAAGTAAAAAGAAAAAAGTAATTTTAATTGATACATTATTTAAGGGGGCTTAAGAAGATTTTAGAAGGGCTGAAGCCTCCTTAAAGCAGGGTTGCCAGATGGCTAAAAACGGCAAAGTTCACGGACGAAAAAGGCCAAAAAGGGCCTCTACCTCATTATATTCCACTATATTTGTAGTGGCCTGTATAAAATTTTTATATTACTTTGAATCACTTTTTTAAAATTCAATAAGGATGTTCAGCCATTATTAATTTTAGCCGGCCAACTCAATTGCAAAAAAAACTAAATCGGGGAATTGTCTGGAAAAGGCCAGCCGGCAACCTTACCTTAAAGTAGGCCTAGTGACGCCACTGCTTGGATCCGTATATCAATTAACTATTGTTGACGTACCGTTAATAAAAGAGTATGTTGTCAACCCTTGGGTGTCACCTCTATGTATTTCTATAATGACAGAGTCTACAGTAAATATTTATGGAAATTTATATTTATTGATAATAACCTTATCCACTTTCTGATACAAATATTAAAGGAACATAGACTCAACCAGAGCTTTCCCTTCACCCTCGTCCGGTTTTCCGACATTTTTCAGTGATCAAGAAATTTCCCTAAAAATTGCTTGATACACTCACATTACAGCCATATAAACATTACACTTGTGTTTTGGTCGTGTAAAATTTTTTGTTTTAGCTTCATTCACAATTTATACGGCTATAAAGACCATTTCGATATATTATTTGGTTGGTTTCAGATCACTATATCCTTTTTTTTACTTAAAACCATCTGTCTGTTGGCAATCCCTTTAGCAGAATAGCTTTTGAGCACAAATGAAAAAATATAACTCAGTATTCGCTGCAGTGAGTGACAGAGAGCTAGCGCATTTTCTCAAAATCGACGAAAACTTGAAGTCACGGACAGATAGACAGACGGACGGACATGACGAGCACAATAGCGCCTTTTTCCCATACATGAGAAAATGCGCTAAAAATCGCATAACCATGCACGAAATGAGGAGGTAAATGCAATGAGATCGTGTGAAAAATTTTCGTGAAATTCTCCTCTGTAATTTGGAATATTTTTTTGTCACTAAGATCGCGATACCGACCGATGAAGTAAATGTTCGAAGGGTCTCTCATCCCTTCAGTTTATCTTAGGACTATCGACTACGAGATCAACGAAATATAATATTCATTGAAGTCCTTTTAGAGTCATTCTCATGATATCCAAGACTTTCTGATCCAAAAAATTCGGAATGTTGATGTAAGAAATTGACATAAACTCATTTTTCCAAGGCAAAATTTTCCCAAATGCTATGAAAAAAGAGATACATGTCAACGTTTTTTGACGCCGCAACACATTTACACTTTCCGGTGGGTTCCCAAATATCATCTAGCTTATGTTGACTATTCTTCATGTAAGTTTATATGAGATTATCAGTGAGATATACATCAATAACAGCAATCTCAAGAAAGTGGAAGGGTGAACAGATGACAATTAAGATATGAGGTATTTTGCTCATTTTTATTCATGGTTATTCATTTTAATACGTCAAGGCTGACAACTGAATGAAAGCAACTTTTTATTCAAAAATTCCTGTGAAAATTCAGTTAAGAACAGGTTAAAAATAATTCCAGCCTTCGTGAAGAGAAATTATTTTTGAGGAAATTATTTTTTCTTGCATTGTTTTTAATTTGTGTCGTCTTAATAAAGATCTATTTCAGTTATTTTCTGCCGGAATATATCTAAATTGAGGCTCATCATCTAATTTTAAGTCAAGAAATAGAAAAATTAGAACGGGCACAGATTCGCACCGAATTAAAAATAAATAAAACAATAAGTACTCATACGTGAATTCACGTATCATTCATTTTCTCTGTTTTTATGAAAATTATGTTCTGGGCTGAATTTTGAATTTAAGTTTTCCGCTCAGTAACGATATTTCTTGGCAAAGTTCATTCATTTTACTAACTTCAACTGCCTGCCTAAATACGTTTTACCTCAAGAACTCCAAAAGAGTTATATTGTAGATTCTATCTTACGAGTTTTAGTTAATTATATCGAGTAATGACTATTAATTATACTACTTTTCGATGATTGTTTATATTACCTTTTTAAATATTTACCCATAATATTAAAGAAAATTAAAAAATGGCATAATAAGCGTAACTAACGATGAGCAACTATTAGATTATCTCCAATTTGATGTTATATTATTGCCTTATTTGTTTACACCTTCCCATGATTCGGATCTTAAAAAAGATAACGTACAAAACATTTATTAGATAAATCTAGCTATTCGCATCATATGCAAAAGTCAACAGAAAAGAACAGAAAAAATTATAATTTAACGCAGCTACAACAAATTATCTGATTTCATCATGAAGACGATTTTATTCATTTTATTTGCTTTATGAATGTCATTTGACAGCATCTCGTATTAGATTATAAAAAGTCTATCCATTTTCGTTAGAATAAAGTCGCTAACATATCCGGTTCAACTTAAAGTATTCCACAATGCTAAAATAGATCATTTATTACTTTTTGTAGGAAGAAGTAAACGGTTTTGGTCTCTATTGATTTCCACAGATCATTAAACCATTTAGATTGATTATACATTTGTTGAAAGAGCTTTAGTATTTGATCAAGTAAATCGCACTAACATCTAGATTTGAGGTGAATCTGAACAAAGCAGGTGCAATAATTCATTATTATATATTTGTTTCTTTTATATTTCCTAGTCTTCTTCCTTTCACTCCCAATTAATGCCCCTATAATTGCATTTGGCATGTTGAGTCTGTAAGCTATTACATGTGGTTCAGGCATCAATTTTTAGCACAAATTATTTGAAGGATTTCCTATTCTAAATCTCTTTACTACATAAAATTCACAGGACTTTTTCTAAACATTTTCTTTCAGAAATAACCAATAGTAGTTATTTCTGAAATAATAGCAGTTTTGTGCAACATTTTCGGAAAACACTTCAGTATTCCCACTAAACACTTTCGGAAGTGAGTTCTGGACGCTCCTGTGATCTTCGTATTCTGTGTACCCTTTAGCACCGTGAAACTTTTACACGTAAGTTTCATATGTGATTACATGAACGATAAGCGCTGTGTATATTTCAGAGAATAATACGTTAATGAGCATAAAGATCTTTCATTCACTCCCAAATTTTGCATGTAAAAAAACGCAAAAAAATCTGCAGCCAATTCGTAACGGTAAAAAGACGAAGTATTTAGTGCTAATATATAAAAATCCACGACATAGATATAAAATTTAAATTGAGATGAACAGTTGTTACTGTAAATTCTGATGAAATTCAGCTTAAAAATTTTTCATTTCAACTAGACATTACACTCTGCTAGTACTACTTAGGAGCATCTAATTAAGTTGGTTTCGAGTTACCGTCACGGTTAAATGATCTCTTATAAGCTTTCACTAATTCCCATGATACGCAAAATAAGAAAAAAAATCAGCTACTTCTACATAATTGCCAGCCTGCAAATTAAAGCTTAAACCAGCGTACGGAGATCGCACAGCGGTCGTGCTGTTGCTGCCAGCAATGAGGGAGAACTCTATTAAAGCACGAAAGGAACTAGGCTCGTTTGTGGCTGAATTGCTCAATCGTTCACCTGAGCTCGTTTACCGGCATTTGAAAGAAGATGCAATTATGCTTCAGACCCTCGACTTTGTATAGCTTATGCGAATCTCTCATTTAAAGGCTCCCTGGTAGTTGATCGTGGATTCAGTTCTTAAATTACAGTTCCGTGATCCCCTATTTCTTTCTCCAAGCCGAATTTAGCAATACTGATGTGTAATGAACTTGGTGCAGTAACTCGTCATCGTGCAAAGTCAAAAATGATAGAGCAATCTCATCGCTAGAATATAGGTATAGCACACTGAAGTAACGCACGGCTTGGTGAAGCACACTGAAAGTAATTAGGCAAACCAATAATGCAGACGGTACAAACATTTCACCATTCAATACAAACATAAATAAAGACAACGCAGATTTGGGAACCACATCAGGCGAAACTATCATCGTGCACCTAGATTGGAGGTTCAGCACAGACAGCCTACAACACCGGGCAACATAGAAGCAATTCTTCTGCTCGATACGCTTAGGTTTGGCACATTAATACTAAGTGTAATGCCCACTTCAAATGCAGACAATTTTTCCCCGAAGGGCTCGACTCTGCCCCACTTTCACAATAGCCCACAGCTTCCATCCCGCCACCTCCCACCATCACTTTCCCAGGACCTATATGATTGAACTCAAAACCTCTGATAATAGCCTATTTGTAGCTCGTCTGGTACGTAGGCCTACTGTATTATCTGAAAAAGTTGACCTAATAGAGCAATACCAATTTGATATTTGGATTCAGATCATAAAAATTAGTCCGATGCCGTCTGAATCTGAGAAATGATTGATGGTTTTTGGCTGATACCCAGTGTTTTTCATGAAATGTTGGATTTGGTAAGATATTTTTTGATTAAAGAGCGATAGTTTTCTTTTACTCGCAAATAAGAAAAAAAAAACATTCGCATTCAACAGCCTTGATATATACAGCTCTGCTCAACAGCCTCGCACGTGCTGATACTGATGTATCTATTTTGTTCTAGCGTTAACAAGTTAGAAGTTCTTGTGCGGTCGATGTTAAATTTATTCTTCCTGCAAAATATTTATGGAAGCTCATCTGCAAATATCGTGAAACCACATGCATAATTATCCCGTAAGCTATTTCTCTCCTTGCTGTTTTAAATTCAAGTTTATTCGCAAAAGGCCTGGGGGATTCTAAACAGCGATCTCTCCTTTTAACCACCTTCAAAACCTCGCTGTATTCCTGCCAGTACCTGATTGCCTCGTCAGATCCTCAGATTTAATTTAAAAAATTCAAAAATATTTTGAAATTGAGTTGAGCTGAGCCCAAATTGAAAATGCATACATGTAATAAATGGTTATAAATAGTTTGTCATTTTAAATTC